GAAATATTTACGAATAAAATTTAGCTTTTTAGGATACAGATTTTATTGCAGAAACAAATAGCAGACTAAGGCAATAATTGGCAATTATCGACAAATTCATAAAAATATTATCATACGAATAATAATTATTGTACTCTTAGATTCTCGACCTTCCCAGGTTGATTATCACTGTTAGAGTTGTAACAAAGATTTTTATCAAGATTGCAAAAAAAAAACATTAAAAGTCGGAGAAGGCTCTATTACAAATAATTACCGAAATCAATTGGCATTTTTGAATGATTATGCAAAATCAACTTGCTTTTTTTTTAGATTTACGGATGACGATGTAGACGAAATGTACCGCGAGGCGCCGATCAAAGGTTCTATGTTTGACTATTTGGAATTCACTCGAATCCTGAAGCATGGCGCGAAAGACAAGGACGAACAGTAGTGAGGATTTATCTAAAAAAGTTTATCGCGTATCCTGACATGGAATCTTAGATAATATTTGGAATTTGTCACACGCCTCTCGCGTTTTTCGATTCAGCGAATTAGAACCACGAAATATTATCATGAGTAATTTTTTTCTGATTTTATTGATTAGAAAATTATGTGCATACACACCGAACAATTTCAAATCGTAATTTGTATCAAAAATTATAGTTTCGTTTTCTTGGAAATATCTACTCATATTTATACTTGTCGAATTTGAAAATATAAGCTCAACAAGTATAAGACAAATTTAGAAATGTGAGGTGTGTATATATATCGTGTAGAAAAACTTTTTTGAAGTATTCAAAAATAACAATTTTTCGAATGATTGCTGTACAGTCGGTTAAACATGTAAGATATTTATATACATAATGCAAACATGTAACTCTGTTGTAGATTCAGCATTTATATTTTAATATAATATTCTATTGCATACGAACTCGTCTTATTTATTAAACCATTTGGAATTTTGTCCTAAAACGTTTATGTATGTGTCTGTGTATATATATGAAATACTGAATCTAGTTTAAACTTAACGGGAACATATAATAGATATAATGTCCGATGATATGGGCCTCAGCACAAAAGTTGCTTTCCATTTATACACAAGTGAAACAATAAGCTGAATATTTTATACTCAGATTAATGACGTCACTATTGCTTACTTTGGTAAAAAATTAGCACATGACACAGATTCATAAACTCACTTTTAAAGTGAGTTTACGATACTCAGTAAAGCACACGGTCTCGATCCTGTGCAAATTGTAGGTAAAAACTCAGTTGAATCTCACTTATAATGCAAAAGGAACGCAAAAGGAAATTTAACCGACAATGAGTTACAAGTGAGAATTATCTGAGAATAGATGCAAATAGAAAACAATTATTAATGGTCATAATTGAGTCGTGAAACATAAGTTATAAGATGCATTCCATTTCACGCATGGGCCGCATAAAACGCAGCTCGTCACAATTGGCTCATTCCGTTTCTCCATGCGCATGAAGAAATGAAACAAATCGCATGCAACCATTGCGGTCCATACGTGTTCATGAGTACTTGCTGTAAACAGACACGGATGTCTCATCGTGCCGTTAAACTTACTGCCGATTATTACCGCTAAAAATTCAGTATCGGATACGTCGAACACCCATAATTTGTCATTTACATAAATTTGTAGTTTTTTTATCTTAGAAGTTCTTTCACAATAAAGTTCTTTCTTTCAGACACAATCTCCAATTGCTAGTGTGATACCGTGTGATACGGGCATTACGCTGCGTGCCGTATAGACACCATGCGCGCATGATCTGTCGATTAAGTGTATGTAAAGCTTAAAAGTTATTTGACGAACTTTTGTGACATGATCTGACAGTATTGCCTTCTTATCCTGTGAAGGCAGGAGCTAATAAATAATAAGAAGAAGAGAAGCGCATGAAGTGAAACGGAACGACTTCTATGCTCTCTATGCGCATCATGCATGAAATGGAACGTAGTCGTAGGTCAACGCACAATGGTTTTGATCAACCTATACAACTATGGCTTACGTTCCACGATTCAGTTACGGTCATTTTTGTGCTTAGACTCTTAGAATCCCAGAGCTGGATTGAAATGAATTGATATCTTAGGGCATAAATTCGTGGTAATTATTTAGAACGCCCTTCATTTCAATTTTGATAAAATTAGACTCACATTCGATGTATTTGTACTGCTAGTATTTTGCTATGAGAAGATTGAAAACGTATTTGCATTCTATGATGCAGCAAGTTGAATTCCGTAGCTATATTGCGTATGCACTCCAATATTGCTAAGACTTTGGATATTGATTCAGTTATGAATGAATTCATTATGAAAAACAGTATTCAGTTTTTTCAACGTTTACTCTAAGTATCTCAACAAGTTAAACGAAAATATTTCTATGTATAAGAACTTATTATTAGAAGAATTTATTATTCGTTATTTATTATTCTGTTATGGTCTTAATATTGAAATTCTATAAAGAAATCTATAAAGATATCGTGATGTAAAAATAATAATGAAAATTTTGTTGTGCCCCTTTTCTTTACGTTATCCACACATGCCAAATCAACAAGTCGATGCTAGCACAAAAAGGAGTACAAGGATTATACTTTCATTTTATTTTTTTTATAATATAAATATCAAAATACAAAAATACCTATGTAAAAATACTAAAATTCAGTTTTTTATTGAAGAAACTGTGTCTTTGTCATTGTGTACAAGAGATTGTGTCTTTGTTATTTTATATAATTTACAGATAAAATATAAAATTGACCTATAATTATATTGTAACTATTTTATATTATTTAAAGTAATCTGATTTTAAAAAATTAAAATGTTCTAATTTAATAAAAATGTTTTTTTCAAAATTAATTTTTTATTTAACTTGAGTTAGTTCAATCTTAACGTAACTGAATTAGTTTTTTGTTCATTCAATTTTTAATTTAACTAAATTTTATAAGCTGTTAATTTTAACTTAATTTAGTTTAAAAAAACATTAACTTATTTTTGGTATTAATAAAGTGAAACGTTTAGTTTTCGAGAAATAAGGGATTGTTTCTTTAAGAGAATTATATATATCGGTGATTTTCCTCTATTATGTTAAATTTTAATGGATATGTTAAAAATTCAACATGAAAAGTTTAACAAAAATCGGTTCAACCGAGGGTTCAGTACAAATATAAAATATTTTTTATTGTGTACATTTGACTAAATTATTTGTGAAATTCGGAATAATTACTAAGTAGAACTTCCAAAAATAGAAAATATTTTATTTCAATTTCTATGAAATGCATTCACGAATGTCGCGTTAAATATTTGCTAAATCTATTTCTACGTTACATTCGGTGATAAATATTTGAGTCTAATAGTAATATCATGTTTTTGTTACATGCGTGACGCGATCGTTGCCACACAATGTTTCATTACTAATTATAGAATTAGTATTCGTCTTGTCTTATTGATAAGAACTAACAATAAAACAATATATAGGGTAAGCACATGGACATACTCTTTCTATAAAGTAAAAAATATAAACCAATGGGGATAAGGTCTATAACGGTTGAAGGTGAATCTGTAGTACTTAAATATTTAAGCACTACAAATCCAGGTTTGACCGTTATGGGTTCTATTTCGTATTAACTGTATATATACTCACATACGGTCCGATAAGATGTTTATTGTTTATATATCGCCTTACATGTGACCTGAAAAAACATAAAAGATAGAAAAAGATAAAAAATCAAAAAGTAAAAGACAAAATATAGAAAAAAAGAAAGAATAAGATAGAAACGTAAATTATCAAATAAATAAAACAAAGTTATAATTTACCTTGACAAGTAATGTGATTATAAATGAATATATTATTTATGAGTATACATATGACGAGATTACAAACGAAAATATTAGTTTTACAATTAGAAAAAGATTTGTACGTGCACGACAGTAAATCGTTCCTGATGCCTACGAAGCACTATGAAGTGAGGCGCGAGATGACAGTCGGGCGCGCGCATGCGCGCATCGCGCATATATCCGAACTCCGACTATGCCGAACGGCACTTTCAGTGTCAGAAAGTATCAGTCTTCTCTTTACCGCGTATGGGATTACGTCGCGGATACGCGAGCGGATGCACAGCCGTCCGTCCCGTCTTCGTGTTCGCTCGGTCCGACTCGTCCGAGAGTTAGCCCGGCTTCGAACCAGTTCGAGCAGAGTCGCCCCCGCTTTCTTCGCGCCAACGGTAAATAGAGCGGGGCCAGCTTACTTCGCTGTGTAGATTAATCGACGGGGCTGCAGAGAGGGCTCTCTTCCCCAATCCCCCTCCCCCGCCCCCCCGCGCCTAGTCGCGAGTGCATCGTATATTCGAGCGACGCACCGCGCGTCACGGTCGACTTCAGGGCAGTGATACGGCGAGAAGGTAGGGGAACAATATGAACTCGATCGTGACGAGGGGACCGCGCGGCCGATGTTCCTGCATCGAGGATTCTAGTCCCAGGATTCGCGCTCGACGCTTGCCGTGAAGTACGTCGCGTGAGTTCGATCTTCAATCGCATCGAAGTGGCGAGCGATTAGTCGCGTCCTGCGTCGCAGCATACATATACCTTGTGTCACCGTTAAGATGTACCCGCTGGGAGCGACGTTAATTCACGATTACGCGGTCTGTCGACAAATAATAGCCGTTATCGAAGCGACGTCCTGCAGCGAGTGCAGCGTCACGACACCGCGCGAATACGTGTGTTGTCATCGATAAAGCGACGCACCGATCGCGACGTTACGTCCTGACGTCACGATATTTTCCTGTCGGAAGTTGACCGCGGATGTTATTCGCAACAATCGCAACCTCATCGAAGACCTCTGGAACGAAGATCGTGCAACGTTACGCAAATATTCATTATGAAAGTAATTACTCCGGATTTTATGATACTTCAATACGAAACGAAGAGTGGGATACTCCGGTACATTTTCTAGTGATCGTTGGGAATTCCAAACTAGAGTAATACGACGAGCGTTTCTGTTGTCCGGCAGGTCAATCCAGGAACCTGCGGTGTTTTGAATCGAAGAAAATCGCGGCGAAAACATTACAAGTGAAACCTCGCGATCGCGGTTGGATTGATCAGTGCGCGCCGAAATCGCATCGTCGAGGCTTTCCCCCCGTCGATCCTCACGAGTGTATCGGATGCGTGAGAAAGTGCAGCTGCAGCAGTAGCAGCAGGGCGTCGGGAGGAGAGGTTAGGCGAGGCCGACACCCACCGAGCGAGTCGATCAGCTGTTTCGCGGTGCCGACATCATTGTCGTTTCGGACGCAGGTACGTGTCAGTTTTTACTTTTCTCATTATCGGTCTTGTGCTCTGAGCCCTGGACGAACGATCGAAATCGTTGTGTCGAGAGACAAGTGTCCTGGCGCCTGATATCGATCGGCGAGCGTTTAATATTTTCAAATTCACATCGTCTGAAGTGAATCTTGTTTTTATCCATAATTTATCCGTTTTGTAGATGCGCGTATGATATAAATACTCATACAGCATACTTTTATCCAAGGGATATCTTAAGAATGTCCTGGGAATAGCCTGAAAACTTGTTTAGGAAGTCCCTTGGAGGTGCTGTGCTGTACGGGTAGAAATTGATAGTAAATAGGAGTATGCAATCGATTGAATGGCAAAAGCGATATTTTCCATTTCCGTTTATAAAAGTTAAATAGACACAGGAATATCGAATTTGCTTAAGAAGGCAAAGAGAAACGTAAAAAGTAATTTAACATTAACTGTCGTAATTAAATTTTAATAGGTAAACTTTTTTTTTAATTTTTTAACGAAACACAAACAATATTACATTATTATATTTGCAAATAATCGGACTTATCCTCTTAACTAATAACACTCAATGTATAACGTCACGTGAGAGCACAATACCTTTTCTTCACTAACTTGTATCGCGCGTGTCACGGAAAAACCTTTCAAACGTAACCCTCACTTTGTTTACAATGCTCGGAATGCGAAGAGGGAATGCACAGGTGGCTACTTTTTTTTACGATGTAGGAATGCGACGAAGAGGGTGTGAAATCGCACATAAGGAATACTTGCAACTTCTGTTATAACATTTTAAATGCACGCAATAAGCTCTCTCTCTCTCTCTCTCTCTCTCTCTCTCTCTCTCTCTCTCAGAATTTCTTAATTTAGTAATTTCGATTCGGTAAATATTCTTTTACAGCAGAAATTCCAAGTATTATCAAATAGGCTTTGGCAATTCTTCTATAATAATTTGTTAGGTTAAAATAAATTTTCTTTGATGATTAAAGTTAAATTATAATAGAGCAACGAGTAACTGTAAAGCTAGCTCTTCAACGACTCGTCACGTAACGTGTTCCCATATGTCTTGCAGTAACGTTAGAATACTTTTTATTGCATTAACATTTTTGTCGACCCGATCTCACCGTCGCATCATATGTTAATGATGTAAGAAGTCTCCACTTTCACAGTGTTTCCTGAACAATACCATTGTATGGTGAAATCACTATATCAGTGACGTAACGGCAAATTGCAACGACGAACAGTTGATATTTTTACTGTGATTATACATTGTTGTGAAAACAAGCGATGACTTACGTTTGTGCTTACGATTTTTTCTCGACGGTTTACGTAACGCTATTGACCCTTGACTCGACATACGAAGAGAACACGGGGATCGGAAGTAACTCATTATAAAAGCGTTCCTTTATAAAGTTGCTTGCATGCTAAGTATTGTCGTGCTTTGTGCAATGGATACACACTGAGAAAAATATTTGTTCATTTGATTAAATTAATTTAGCTCGTCTAATTTCTTTTTATGAAGAATGTATGTAAACATATTATATTTGACTTAAATGCATACATTCTTTAACAAAAGAAATAAAGACGTTCTAAATTAATTTAGTCAAATGAACAATTTTTTTCCTCGGTGTAAAAAGAACGTTTTGTTTTCTTTGCAAGAATAAAGTACTTTAATGTTTCTTATCAAGTATCAATTCCGAAGCATTTCCACATTTTTTTCCAATAAGAGCGACGTAGAAGTAATGTAGAATTGAGATGGCTAATCGTGCTGATCTTTCGTTTCGCGAAATTAATTAAATGATAAATCGCGTGTACAGAACGTGAGACTGCCGTCTCACAGACGTAACGCGACACTATAGTCTATTTGAACGAAATCTCACACACAATGTTATGTAAATCGAATTCAGGAACTAAACCGAGAAATGAATACGCATAATAGGTCTACATAAGCAAAATGGAGAGTAATTTATAATACTGTCTGTTGTAGAACAAAAAGAGAAGTCACGTAATTTTTCTTATACATCGATGCATTTGATGACAAACTTGCACGTTTCGTACATACTGAATATTGTAGTCCCAGTTTTGTTTGACTAAAGGTTCTTATATTTGTATTGATTTTCATACGTAAGAATATATCGTCTGTCGTGATTACATGTTCTATATTCAATAATTCGCAGACTTTCTCGGAAAGGACTGCTGCGATATCACTCGATTTACGACGAGTTGAAGGTCTTTGATAGACAGTGCTGAAGAAACGTCTATATATTTTTTGAGCTACAACTCTATTTGTCATAGAATTTATTTCGCGAATTTAGTCGTCGAAGTTACATCGTTAATCATAAAGAAAGTCGTTACGTAAAATGAGATTTCCCCGATATCGCGTTTCATCAGTAATCCTGAGGGAAATAATTTCTCTTTCATCTCGCCGTTTTTCTCTTTTCTGGAATTTTTGCGATCGACTCTATCTAGACGTGCACGCTCGAATTTCAAGATAATTAGACAATGCTTAAGAAAATTTCATAAATGGATATATATGTTTGGTATAGATATAGATATTAAGAAATGCGTATGTGATACGAATGATAAGTGTATCATGAAAAAATCAAGAGTACCTTTGTGTGAATTTAAACAAATTATTTTTAATTAATTTCTATTATTATCTTTTTAAATAATTTATTTTTTGATAGATAAAGCTGATTTTTGTGACAACTTCATCTATCATTTAAAAAATCAGCTAATTTCTCTGATTAGATCACCGTTTTATTAAAAAAAAATCAATGAGAATAGTTTGTTATATCATTTAACATTATCTATTAAATCAACTATTTGCCATATCATTTCTTTGTGGCTCTCTTACATTAATGTTTTCTGTAATTCCTATACTGAATCGATAAAACTTATATTTCGGGCAAAGTGAATTTTATTTTAAATTCTTATCGAGAAATAGATAGATAGCTGAAAACAGGAAGCGAGATGAAAATAAAAAAAGAGGCTGAAAATTACTTTTGTTAAGAACGCAACATGAAAGAAGCTGTTATCACAGCTGTTCTTCACATTTGATGGACGTGCGTGTGCTACGTATGCAACGAGAGATAAGGCAATCAAGCATGTAACGTGTAACGAGTCGCACATGTCGCGTGTTCATCACGCGAACAATATTATGGGGCTGCTACCGCAACTGTGCCGCGTTTGCAAACAGGGGAATGCGGAACAAAGCGCTCGTTGCTGCGAATATACTACTCGAGTCAGGAGCGGATTAAGTCAAAAAGGAATTTGGCGAGGGGTCATAATTTGCTTGTAGCTTTTTGACTATATCGATTGAGCCTCGAATTAAATTCTCGTTGCAAAATGAACTCCGCGCATGAAGTGCGTGAATTTCACAAAGTTAAGCGAAAAATAAGAGTTTGTCATCGAATCTTTGAAGCGTAATTTACATTACGGATTTACATTAACAGCTTCTATTTAAAGACAGTATTCGATGTACTGTCATCAATTTACTGTCATCAATTTACTGTCATCATTGAAAGCTAGATTAGATGATTGACTATTACATCTCAATTTTGAAATTAGATTAGGTAGCTCTTCAAAGAGTGTCTATTAATAATATTTTATTCAATATATATATATATATATAGACAAAGACCATGTAATAAATTATTTTAATTTTTAATAATTATTTTTTAAAGGAATTATTTCAAACAATAAAAATAGATATGACTCACGTTATATCTATTTTTATTGTTTAAAATATTCCTTTAAAAAATAATTATTAAAAATTAAAATAATTTATTACATATATGGTCTTTGTCTATATTGAATAAAATATTATTAATAGACACTCTTTGAAGAGCCACAATCTAATATATTTTACCTTTTAATATAGAATTATAAAATTTATTTATTTTTTCCATTCTTCAAAATAAAATAACTCACGGTGCATACATTTAAATGTATGTACCATGGCTTTATTTGATTAAAAAAAGGAAATGAAAACTGCAAAAACCGTCAGGACTATCGAGATTTCCTTCCATACGGCCCTGATACTTTCTGGGGTTGCTGCCTGCATTGCCATAAGCGGGACATAGTCCTCTCGGAAGTTTCTTTGTACAAACAACAATGGCAATCGCGATAAATTAATACCTTTTTACTGCCATTTGTCGTACTATCAGCAATCGGTTTCTACAATATCACGCTGCTGCTCCGCAATCTCAATGGTACTGATTAGTTTGTGCGCGAAGTGCAAGCCGAGAACAATAGTAATAATACACGGCAATTTAAAACACAGTTACTTGCATACCTGATTTATGATTTGATGAAAGGTAATCTGCTGTTATCTGGTAGACTTTACCATAACACGATTTTTTACTTGTCCTAATTTTTACCTACTAGAATATCTGATGTTAAAAATTAGAAACCTTAAGCCTCGCAATGGTTGAATTGGTAGAAGACGACTATAAAGCACAAATGTAGGAAGGTTTGAAGGCTCTGGCTGAGTTGATATTTTCTGCAAAAAATTCTTTATAATGTTTTGAGATATCTTATTAGCACCAGTAAAAAATTTGTTGTTAAATTGCTTGTTAATTTAATTTATGATATTACTTATTCCAGCTTCAGTTTAGAACCGTGTTTCAAATGTTTCAATATCGACAAGTATTTGGCACGCAGTTTACATTTACAAGAACTGCAAATTGTAAAATTTACGCAAAATATCATTACAAGATTAGCTTTAACCGAGAATATGATCTTCACTTATTTGTGTCGATAATTTTCGATCAATTTTCTTACTATGAAAAATGAGGCAGTTGTGCAGGGTAAAAGTAAAGGAAAGTACATAGTACACATCTGAATCTAAATTATTAATGAGAACTTTGTTCACGGTTTGCTCCGTTAGTTTCGTTCCCTGACAATTTATACATTTTGCTTATTACTTATTAATTTCAAATGACGCCACGTAACGCTATACAATTGCGACTTGATACGAACGGCCCGAATTATAGTCG